TAATCTTCTATCCCTAATGATCGACTTCCATAGTCCAAGGTGGAAGCAAATGACTAGTGAACTTGGTTCTGCTTTGTCTTACTTTCTCTTTTAGTCCGTTTCAAAAAAGACATCTCTCCCTTTGGAAACACTTTAATTCTAATTTTCCGACTAACATGATTAATACCACAAGATTAAAAGAGCATTTGGTACATATATCCTACATATCCTTAATTTAAAGCCACAACATTCAAGAGTTTCCTTACTTTCTTAAACTTCGTGCCAAATCAAAACAGATAAACAAATTGAAACATAGATGATATCATTTCCAACTTATATAGAATGAAGGAAGGAAAACTTTGCTCCTCTTTAAAACAACTAACCATATGATCCCAAGTTAAATGATTGAACTAGTTTGTAGCCATGGAGACAGTTAACTGTTTTAAATACATCCATATACAGAACAATCAATGGTGTCACAAAACAGGTTAACATAGAATAAACACAGCTTACATTACATTATGGAGTTAAATATTCTCTTCAACCTCTATAAAGCTCATGCAACTCTTCTCATTTTGATGTTAACTGGAATCTCCTTGTAGGACTGGACCTTTTCGGCTGCTTTACGCGATGGTCTTCCAATAGAAGACCTTCGTGAAAGTTGAGCTACATTTTCCTTGTCATGTTTCACTTCCTCAACGCCAGATAAAGGTGATGGAACAAAACCGTCTATGTGAACCGGGCTGTTAAAGGGTACAGCAAGGCCTTCTAATTCAAACAAGTCCTCTGCTGCTGGTTCTGGCTGTTGGATTTTGGAATTAGTAGACTTTCTTCTCAAACATCGCCTGTAAAGGATATGATTAGTTAAAATGTCTTGAGATTCAAGCAATCACGGATGATATAACTAGTAACGAAAAATGTGTTTCCTCCCAAAGTCAATAGATTTTATTAGGAAACACTCATTTTCGGAGTAACATACAATGACAATGTTGAGTTTTCCTCAGATGAGTTCGCCTATTTAACATTCGTATGTAGAAGCCAATGGGGACTAACCTTTTGTTTTCTGCTGCTTCTTTTTCTGCAGCTTGTTGAGATGTTGTTGAATGGCCCATAGCTGTGGAAGATAACTTAACGGTTAAGCCAATGACAAAGATAAATTGGAAAATCAAGAATGCACTAGTTGATAAACTAGCATTTACATTGACTTCTTGTAGCACGCTGGCGTCTGTTACCATTTTTAGGCTTGCTATGTTTGTTCAATTGAGAGTCGATATCCATAAACTCTTCATCCTAATGTCAAATATGCAAAAATCTACTTAGTGAGAGAAGATAGAGGAATGTTGATAATTGCAATGGAGAACAAATTGGAAGTTCAAGTACCACACCTGCAAGTCATTTGTTGGCTGGTCCTTTTGTTGTTCTTGTTCCTGCAACTACAACAAGACACTAGTTTATGCCTCTACTGATCAATATCGAAAAGCAGCACTAGGTGCATCTAACTATTTACATGTAAAGACTATGTGACAAGCCCAAAAAAAGGCTTTGAATTTGCAGCTTGAGGCGTGTACCGAACAAAGTGTAATTAGTTCTGAGATTATCGAACAATACTTTCTCTGTTCAACACAATTAGAAGCTAGAAGCTTATCAACTCCATCCAAGAGATAAATGAACACGTCACATTACAACAACAACAACAAGATACCTAGTGTAATCCCACAAGTGGGGTCTAGGGAGGGTAGAGTGTATGCATACATTAACCCTCGGCTCAAGTAAAGCTTCTCAAACCAATTTGAGAAAAGAGAGTATGAAAATGAAAGCAGTAACAACAACAAAAAAGATCGCTATGGAAAGCAGTACATAGCATATAGAGACAGAACAGTAACAACAACGAACTAATGCAATAGCCGAAGCACAGGAAAAGTAAATGATAACAGCAATTGACGAACAAGAAACTATGAGAATGGTGCTACTACTACTGGTAACAAAGATGATATAACAGTAATGAAGATGTCACATTATGTCGCATAAAATATAAGCTATCTATCTAAGCACACATTAGTTGTTGTGCGGTCTACATTGAACTATCAACGTTTCCTTCACACATCCAGACAAGTAAAACCAAACATTTTTTAACATCTCAACCCCTACAAACGTTTTAAGAGGAGAAAGCTACACTACTCCTGAACTCAGTATAAGTTCAGAATTTTTTGAAGTAGTTTTCAATTGTTCAAAGATCAGACTTCATGCTATTGCCAAAATGAATTTAGGCATTACCAAATTGAACATAAAAAGGTAGCTTATTCCACTCAAACACAAATTGATGAAACTTCATGCTATTGCCAAGATGAACTTAAGCAAGACCAAGATTGTATGCACCTAAAATTTTATACATCAATATTTCTTTAAGCAAGCAATAACAAATTTTGAGAGAGTACAAAATCCTTACCTCTTCTAACTTCCGCGATTTAAGTAGTACTTCTTTGCAAACCAGCTCATGTTGTAGCGATTTCATCTGGTACAGAACAAATTAATAGTTCCTGTTTAACAAAGAACTCTAGTTTCCCCTTTAAGTAACAATCTATTTTAAAGAAAGTATTTTTACCTTATCTCTGCTCAAATTGAGTTCCTGCAAAATTAATCAGTAAAGGATCGTAAATTAATTTTGAGTAATTTATCCTCAATGCAAGAACACTACTATGAAGAGAAAGAAGAAACTAACCGCCAACATATGACTATTCGATTGAGCAAGATTCCAGTTTTGTAGCTGCATTTTTTGTAGATGAATCCTCATTTTTTGAAGCTCAAGTCCACTCAGCTCTATAATCTTGCTGTTAACATAATCAAATCATATAAGAAAAACATCAAACAACTTGATAGTAACAATGTTAAAAAAATATATTAAAAAATGGCATGTTCTAGATTGTGTACACTAATACATACTTCTTTTCTTGAACAATTTTCACCAATGCAACATTTTCCTGTATCAAGCAACCAAAGAACAACACAAAAATCAGAAAATCATATACAAATCACAAAAAATACAACAACATACCAAGTGTAGTTCCACAAACTGGGGTATAGAGAGGGTAGAATGCACGCACACCTTACCCCTACCTCAAAGGTAGAGAGATTGAATCCAATAGACCCTCGGCTCAAGGAAAAACGGTCCGAAAGTAGTTCAGAAAAAGTAGTACAAGAGGCACAACAAACAACATATAATAACAAAAACAACATACAGTTAACAAAACTACAACAAAACAATACAATAGTCGAGGTACAAGGAATCAACACATAGTAACATAAATCAAAGGATAAGAAACTACACGAGCAATTCTACCTACTACTCTTCTATCCTAATCTCTATAACCTCCAAAACCTCATATCTAGCGTCATGTCCTCAGTAAGCTAAAACAAATCACAAAAAATAAATTCATAAAAACCCCATTAAGTAAAAAAGCAAAAAAAGAACCATACTTTGGCAAGATGATTAATGTAGTCCTTCATTGAAGAAACATCAGGCGAAACCTTATCGACATCGATAGGCGATTTTTGCTGTGTTTGTGGAAGAGAATTTGTTATATCTGATAACCTCTTCCTCACAATGCTTCCAAAAGATGATCTTTTTGCCATTCTATCCCCTTTCATTTCTTCTTATGGCTAAATCAATCAAGAAAGCTTTTTTAACAAAAAATTCAAGAAACACAAGTTGGGTAATCAAGAAATGACTTCAAAACTCAAACCCCACAAATTTTTTTCTATGAAACAAACCCTCATATACCCAAATTCAACATAAAGGTGAAAACTTTGTTAGTTTTTTTTTTTTTTGAAGTAAAGATTTTTTCATAAAGTACTGTGATTAAATCTTTGATTTTTTTTCCTGAGAAAAAGGGTTTTGATTTGGGTTTGGTCGAAGGAGGGAAATCTAAAAGAAGAAATGAGAAGTAAAAGAGAAAAAGAAGAGAGGAAAAAAAGATGAAGAATTTTTAGGTTCGGACTTCTAACGGCTTTCCGAAGCTAATATTCAACTGGTTTGGACTGAGTTCCGAGCCTACTTTTCAAATATCGGAGGCCTTTATTCTTGATTCCATTTGTTTTTTCATTTCTTTTTTCTTTCTTTTTCTTTTCTTTTTCATATTCCTTCTCTTTTTTCTTTAATAAAAATGTAGAAAGAATGTGTTTTGAATTTTGAAAATCATGGCAAAATTTCATACATTTTGTTTTTTTGGACGATATTATTCTTTTTAAATACGTGTTTGGTTAATAATTAATTTTTGAAATTATCTTGCGTGAGCTTTACTTGAGTCCAAGGGTCTATCGGAAACAACTTTTGGTTACGGCTAAATATATACCACCCTCCGTAGACTTCACTTGTAAACTTATACTTTTAGTTTGTTATTGGTGTGAATGCTCAAGTGAACTTTTTTTATTTTATTGTTAGTAGATAAAAATAATTATTTGGTACGATGATGACACAAGTTGAGTTTAAATGAAGTCGTGAAAATTTATATGTCTGACTCAAACTTATTTGAGATTAATGCATAGTTATTGTTGTTTTCTCTTGTGTCGTGTCAATTAAGTAATTATATGGGAATTTTCTTTCTCAAATGAGCTTAACTTGTATAGTCCAATTTCTTAAAAGTTTCATCTTTTGTGTAGTATTCTATATGAAAACAAAGTTGTCTTCTTTTTTTTTGTATTTCATCTTTTATTTATTTATAAAATATTGAAAATTAAATACTCACAAGACTTATGGGTCGTGCACCCCATGTTACGTTTCACCCGTGTTATTTAAAATACATCTCGTCCTTGCATTCACACTTTTTAAAACACTCGTTAAAATTACTATATGAAATCAAATTTAATACTTGATTTGATTTTTCGAAACTTGTCTTCCATCTAGCTTACGATTTAGCGCAGTGTACAAGTCCTTAAGAACTCATATTTTGTAGTGACACCAACAATTATGCTTCTTTTAAGAAGGTATTATTTCGAAAAATTTTGGGGTGTAAGGTTGAAAAATATACGAGCAAACATTAAACTCATATCTAACATTATCCAGAAGGGTAAAGGTTATACTTGCACAACTAAAAAAGGGCATTTGCACAATTTTTTGAAAGGGCAAAAATAGTGCAAAGCTGTTCCATCTAGTGAGGAGCCAGAATGACAAAAGAACCCGGCAGATCAACAATCAGTCTTAACAAAAACTGCATTGCTTACCAAAAAATTGTCAGTAGAAGATCACTGTCAACTTTTCTGTAGATGCTACGATGAATCTTCTGGTTCCATCGTGAGTCGATGAAGCATCCAAGTCTGTAGATTACACATAAAATATATCGATCTCTTATGCTCAGAGTTAGTTACTTTGTCACTAGCCTGATTCACTGTAGGAAGAATTTTCTGCGCTTAGGATAGAGTCATCTTGTGGCGTTGCCTTGAAGAAGATATGATGCTTTACTACGAACCTAACAAAAACGACAAACATCAGGAGGAGTTTGAAAAGTAACTAAGATGATAAAAGTTGAGTTTACCTTAGAAGCATAAGACCTCAAATCTGTGCTAGTGATTTGACAGGAACAGTTTCTAAGGCACGCGCTCCATGTCTCACTGATTATTGGTTTATCTTTTAACAATGGGTTGCAAAACAGCCAGTTCTCTGCCAGAACCAGTTGAATATACATTTTGAGAAGATCACAATTCTTATGCTTCAGATTGATGGAGATTAGAGATCTCAAGATCTGTTCTTCATCATGTACCTGCACGAGTATTTAGGTAACGTATGCCAAAAAATTGTTAGCTACGCAGAAGAAAACACATTTCAAGACCTGGCATGACAAATATATGACGATGACAAACATAATGAGGGGCACATAGAGGATACTTAAATGGTAGTAGTGACAGTAAAAGTACGTTAAAGCTACCTTGTCGTCAAAACATGCTACAAGAAACTGAAAGGCCAGCACACTCCTAAGATGCTTGGAACGAGCATCCAGTCCAGCTACACTCTCCACAGATCTCAAGCAGTTGACATCAGTAGGAACTCTGAAGAAATGGCTTGTCCAGTCATATAACTTTAACACAAGGAGTATTGGAAGAATATTAAACTTCTAAATCTACAGATCCATAGAAGCAGGTATCTAAAACATAAAGCTCTAAGGAAAACGGAGATGAATGCATAACAATTAACAATTACTAATACTTAAGATGCAAAAGGGTCAGAATAGAACAATTTCAACTTTGAACATGATTTGAAAATCAGGCACCAGGACAAATAACAACATACCCAGTGTAGTCGCACAAGTGGGGTCTTGGGGGGGGATACACAGACCTTACCCCTACCTTTGTGGGGTAGAGAGGTTGTTTCTGATAGACCCTCGACTGAAGAAAATCGTTTTTCAAGACACGTTTGGAAAAAAAAAAGCACGGTGTAAAAAGCTATGATGCAAATATTGAAGAAAAAGAAGTACAGACAGTAAAAAGAGTAAAGGGAAACAAAGTTGAAGAAACAACAGTAGTAACATAAAAAAATGCACCCTCTACAGCAACAATAAAAATGAGATTCAAAATGCATCTTTTAAGCTGAAAGGTGTATGTTCCAAGTTTGTATTCATATGCAACTTGTCTGATTCTTCCACTAAATTTCTCTCCTCTTTCCACTTCTCTCACTCTACTAAGTGGGGGAGGAGTAAGATCCATCCATGTGCAGAAATAATTGAATATCGGAGGTACTAAATTACTTTAGAACACAGTCAAACTAATTGTAGAAATCAATGAAAGCTATTATAAAGAACCTGCAGGTGAGGGATTTTGCTATTTTCTGACAGCTTAAATGGAATGCATCATCACTAAAGAAGCTAATAAGTGAGTGCAAGCAATCCTTCAACGCTGAAGATAGGCCAATAAGTTGCCGATCTAAGAAGAGATAGATCACTGAGGTAATCAAATCTTCTACCTCCGCTGTTGAGAAAACTGAACGTTTGGCCCTACAAAAAAACGAAAAAAGCAAAGATTGAGATTTAATATAATGCCATGATTCTGGATCAATAGAACCTAAATGATTCTGATCAAAAGTAGGTTCCAAAGTAGTTTATAATAAACACGGCTCTACATCAAGTATTAATTTTTTTCTAATTTCTATCAGTTGAAACAGTAACTGAATGTTTACAATCCCATAAACACAAATTAAGCTCCAAAAGTAGACCGGCACATCACATACCTTGCTTGGCAACAAACAGAAACATATTTTATCCAGTATTTGATATTTTGAGGCGGTCCAGCAGAATCAGAATCTAAGAAACAGCATATGAAGTTGTGAGGATTTGTAATACATAAGTAAGAAATATGGCCCTTGTAAATACTGAATAAGACTATACTAGTAATGAAATCTAAAGACCCTAAGAAACTATGTACGTCCTTCTTAAAGGTCTAAATCACGTTGCACACCCTTACCCACTATATAAGCCCTAGCTCCCGTTTTATCACATTTCCAGTTTAATCCAAATATTATGGAAATTTAGCAACAAATAGGTAAAGTGAATAACTAAAACCTTATTTGAAGAATATGCATGCACAATAAATTTGTGCATGATTTAGTACCCTACAGACAAGAAAGACCGACACTGATATACTCTTTCCCCACTGCTCTTCTGCCTGTAGTTTTTTGATAACTTCCTTGCAAGCCAAGAATTAATGGTTACTATATAGATGGTCAAGGCAAAAACTGGCCCGGACACCAAGGTCATCAAAAAAAATATACAGAAGTATGGATTGAAGCAAATAAGATATACATAGACTAGAAACTTAATTTGCAGGGGACAATTATTGCTATCAGGAAAAATCAGTCTAAGGTGGAATTTGTGTACCTCCATCCACAATTTCCATGCTGGATGAAGATTTGGAAGGGGAATCCAACAGAAAGCCACATACTTCAAGTGCTCGCCTAAGTTCTGAATGGTTCGGCAACCATCCCATCTCAAACATTACAGTATCAACCTTACAAAGCATGAGGAGAGAAAAATAACTTGAGAAATTTGCATGAATAGACAGATGATATATTATTCATTCCGGAGCAGAGATGAAAACCTGATTTTTAGGTAACAGAATAGAACAGCAAAATTCACATGCTGCTGCCCTCAACTCTTCTTTTGGTGAATATAACACTGAGAGGGCATAATGCAATTGTAACTACAGAATCATTCAGCATCAATAATTGGAAAGAACTACTACTCACTGAGACTAAATGTCCATGCTCCTATGCACTTTTCAACTCGACCATGATCTGTAACCAATTTCAAAAGCCAACCGTTCACAAGCAATCCTTCCAGAAATGCTTCTCCTGCAATAGCATCATGGTTATGGAACCCCACAGTTAATCCCGATAAAATTGATTAAATAACTCATTTGAATCTTCTAAGAACTTGTTCTTGAGTTATACCTAGTGCTGGAAAATGGGATGATCAAGATCAGATATGGGTGGGTTAAAAACAAGTTAGACAAAAACATATAAAATATCTGTCCCGAGCGTATTTACAGACAAAAAACAGATCGAGTGACAGATAATATGGATCCATATGTTCTATTTATATAATTTACAAGATTAGAATTCACTAACATATTTTTATCAAGATCAATGGAATAGTTTGACAAACTATTAATTTTTTGCAGCACCCAAGGGTGTAGCCTAGTTAGTCAATGAAGTGGATTGAGAACCATGAGCTCTCAAGTTCAAATCCCAACGGAAACCCAAAAAACACTAGGTGACTCCTTCCCTTCTGTCCAAGTCCTAATGGATAGAATTACCCAGAACCGGTATTGTATTGGTGGGAGGTAGCAAGTACCCCGTGTAATTAGTCAAGAAGCGGAAAAAAAATATCTCTCTCTTTATATATATACTAGTCTTTGGGTACGTGCTTCGCACGTGTATCCCAAATCCATTGTCACATAATTTCGTAAAAAGAAAATTATATTATACAATGAAATCACAGTGCAAGTATGCATTCATAATTTACTAAAAGTCCAACGAAAATTAGATATTAGTACTCTTTTTTCATAAATATCACAATTATAGTAAATATATATATTTCAGTGGCAGCTTATATAATAAAGAGTGCTGTTTCTTTTTGGATTTGATAAAAAAAAATTAAGGTAACTTTGTATTAAAAACAGTACTTAGGTAGCACTGAAAAAACCAATTTACACATGGAATAGATACAGAATATACCAGATATGAAACCAATCCTAAATGGTGCCTAAGACATCTAAGATTGATTCAGTGTCACTAGAATACAGTTTAGTGCACCAAAAACAGAAAAGCAAAATGCAACTTTTTATTTTTTGACTTAAAATCATTTAAGTTTGACTAACTTTTTAAAAGCTACTTTTTTAAGCCAATCCAAACGGGCTCTTAGATGGATTGAAGTCAAACTAAGAATTATTTAATACTCTAATTGAGTTTTCAGCTATTTAAACTGAAACAAAATAAAATGCACTGTGGCAAAATACTTCACAAAGCTACTAGAATTTGAGTTGTATATATTATTCTGTGTAAATTGATTGCAGAAATGAGAAAAAATTCTTAAACCAGGTATGAATCTGCTTTACTTTTACAGTCTGACAAAAGAAAATAATATGTTTTGTTCAAAGGAGAAGAAGCCCCTCCACACCTCTCTCACCAAAACCAAAAACAAAATCGTGCTTTGCACATCCCAGACTAGTTCAGTAGCAGCAGAGCGGAACTTATGGACTGTAAGCCAGTCATGTTGGGAAGTCCGATTTACCCATTTAGATCGGTGGTTTTATTTGTTTTTTACCACAAGTTACACGGCTTGATCCAGTTTTAAGAAATCACTTATCCAACCCATTTCTAGATGGGCAGGTTGGACAGATACTTGGGTATTTTATCCATTTTGCTAGCACTTATAGCTCAGATAAATCAACAGAGAGCTAAATCTGAAGATAGAGCTGTCACTAACAAAGCATAATTGTGACGAATTCAGTAAAAATTGAAAGGAAAAAGAAAAGAGGGAGAGGAGGAGACAACACCTTCTTCTGTTTTAATTCCTAACAATGAATTAGCTTCATTCTCCATAAAGGACTGCAAAAGGGCACAACTACTAAGCTCGGGAAAAGTAAGTGTGGCCATAGCTTTCTGCAGTCAGACAGGAAAAGATATACGTTATAATTCACTCAAACCCAAGATACCGTCAGTGTAAAGTGAACGCTAGGCTTGTCTTAGTTAATAGATAAAACCTGGTCCCCAAACACTTGAAGACCCCATAATGGCATTTGATCATCAGTGCTTATTTCATTCATCTACAAAATGATACAAAATTCAATGTTGCCAAACATTAGGATCAAATTGAGAACCATACCCACTTGGAAAAAAAAGAAACAAAAATGCATACCTGTTGTTGGCATTTGTTAACATAGTTATTAAGCTCTGCTTCTCTGGTATCCAAATCATCATCTGACTCATCAAACTTGTGGATCTTTGCACGTTTAGATTCCTTCTTAGGTATGTCGCTCTTCACTTGGTAGAAGTCACTGAGAAGATCATCTAAGCCGATAACCTTCTTCCTGGAAAATATTAGTTGAAATAAGAAAACATAAGACAGTACTACAGTGTTAAGACCATTCAATTGGCTGAATATATAACAATGGGAGAAATGAACAAGAGACTAGCCTGTCTCCAGAGCTACATTATCAATCAGGTAAAAATATGCATATTCACTATGTATTCAGTGCTTCAGGGGCGCGGGGGGATAAGACAAAAAATAATGGTTATATGCTGAATCCAGTACGATATTCTTGACTATTAGAAAAGTCTAGAAGCAAGAGGGGGGGGGCGGATAAGACAAAAAATAATGGTTATATGCTGAATCCAGTACGATATTCTTGACTATTAGAAAAGTCTAGAAGCAAGAGGGGGGGGGCGGATAAGACAAAAAATAATGGTTATATGCTGAATCCAGTACGATATTCTTGACTATTAGAAAAGTCTAGAAGCAAGAACCGGCCAACATTTGTTAATAGTGAACTCAGACACCAGTCAAATTAACTGAGAAAATGGCTCTAAATGGTAGACATCAGCAACTCTCTCCACCATCTCTACGTATTCAAATGGTAATAGTTCTTTTTTATTTTGTATAACTAATCCAATTGGTATTTTTCACATAACATAAATTAAAGGTGTACTTCAGTCCTATCAGCTTTTGTCTAAATAATAAAAGAGGTCAAGGATAATTTTACAGATCTCCAAACACTAGCACGGAAATTTTGGCTACACGCATATCATTGGTCTGCTGAAGTAAATGATGTCATAAAAAATTTGAGGTCATCAAAGCATGTGGTCCATATGATATCCCTATAGAGGTATGGAAGTGTTTTGAAGAGGTTGGAGCAACATGGCTTACCTAACTGTTTAGGAATGGAAAGATGCCACACAAGTGAAGAAAAACACCTCGATTTCTGTATATCAGAGCAATAAGATATTAAAAAGTTCAGGAACCTATCTTGCCTTGAACTTATGAGACATATGATGAAACTTTGGCAAGGAGTGATAAAGTAAACAGTAGTACAATAAACCAAAAACCTGTATTCTAATTGCATCTAGAACCGTATACCTACTTAAGTTGCAAATATAAAAGTAAACTTCATTGGCAGTAGGAAAACCTTTAGCTCTCCTCTTTACCTAAACTTACACCACTATTTTCTTTTCCCTTCCCTTTCTCTTTTCTTTATGAGGAGTGTTTAATCTTGTAAATACACAAAAAGAATCTCAATCATATCCTAAGTAAATTTCCACAAGTACATGTCGATCCCATCAAGAGTTCCAGAAGCATCCGTTAATTAATCAAATTTCAACTTCTTTCTTCATTTTTCTTTCCCCACTCCCCCCTTTTTCTAGTCTATAGGCAGAAATCAAATAAGAGAGAGTTTTCCACATATACTTATCCATGCCTTTAGCTTACTTTTTATGACTCAGATGTTTCTAGTAAATTCATATTTCCTGGAAATGACACATGCGATTTTAAATTAAAAATTCAAGTTAAGGTGGAAGAATGTTAATTGCAGGTTAATATTAAATGCATGACTGAATTAGATATCCTGATTAATTTCAACCAGTTAGAGGGCTCCCATCATATCTCCAAAGTAACTTCTTGTCATGAGTAGGCTATGGGGCTAACTTCCTTCCTCAAGTATCATAGGAATCATCCTAATTGTATTTCATTTTCTAGGGTGTAGATATGTAATTATTAATGATTCAACGAAATCAATTCTTCCAGCGTTAATACAGTGTGGTAACTGATTGTTGTAAAAGTTTGTCTCCGGATTAAGTACCAATAACAATGGCAGTTGCTATCATGGAGGTGAACGATTAACCTCACATGTCTACCATCATAAAAGCACTAACTCACGATAGTGCTTCTATATACTATGCTTAAGCTCTCTTAAGGTCATAAGGTTAATTCTTACACCTTTTCCTCTCACCAAACTGATACAAAACGAACAACCTGGAGGGTATCTCAATTAGAATTTATAACCTTAAGACTTGGTTCAAGTGAGAATTCTAAAATAAATACTTAAATACATGATAAAACAGTTCAATTGTCATACACTAAGAACTTTAACACCACCAAAGTAACTACAACATAGACTGACAACCTTAAAAATAGTAGAACCTGCAACAACCTATTAAACTACACTGCTACCTCACAAATTTTACCTAGTGCTTATAACTTGAATTTATATTAAAATGTTAGAAAAGACTCTGTAAGGCAGGGTAGAACTGAGTGTAGGAAGTGGATACAGAAAACTCCATAGTTTTGGTTACCCCATTCAGCAGCAGATTATGAACACACAACAACTCACGTTTGATTCCTATATTCAGGAGCATGAAATCAACCACCCTTGACACTAGATTTTTTTTCTCTTTCCATAATGGAGATAGTTGCACATAATGACAGATCACGGCCATATGGACTTGAAAGAGCAAGCGTTGAAAAGTCAGGACCCATTTGAGAATCGATCCTAGACACCCACCTACCGTCCCTAAATCTATCTTACTCTTCCTTGATCTTTTAAGTCTAAAAATAGGTTTGATTTGCTTCACATGTGTGAATTTTACCAATTCTTCTTTTACACCTTATTTGGATGGTTGTTACACGTTGAGTTGTATTGTATTGCTAGTTTAAATACAATGTTTATTTTGATTATAACTCAAACTTGATTATATCGCATCGTTTAAATCCATCGTTAAGTAATAACAAAAAGATCCATTTTTTGTAACGACCGATTTGGTATGATCGCGTCGCTACCTTAATATTTTCTTCTTATTTTATCTTTACTTATGATTCAATACTTCTATTTTATCCTTCGCCCACCTTTTTAAAGTAGTTTTACCTCGTACCCTAGTTTCTTTGTAAGTTAACATTCAAATTATGGATGCGTGATATTATGTAACAACGGAGAATGATACAGTCTATCCAAACATTGTCTTGATTATTAAAACAATACAATACGATACACAGGGGCGGACCCACGCAGAGAGTATTGGGTGCTCAAGCACCCATTGACTCCGACGAAAATTTAGTATATGTTTATAGAAAATATTGAAAGATTAATATAATCAACTCTTGAGCACCCATCAACCAAAAGGTTTGATGGGTGCTTTGGTTCTCAAACCAAAGTTAAAGCTTGCATTGATGCTCTCGAGTGTGAGGGTTCGAATCCAGGTAAATCCAGGTATTTTTTTAATTGGAAAAAAGGCAAAATGAGTTTTTTTTTACATTTTACTCTTCTTTTTATACCTTTTCACTACTATTTTCTTGCTTTTTTTTTCTTTTCGATTTATTGTTTTTTCACTTTTCGATTTTTAGCATTTCATTTACTAACTAAACTATAAAAATATTAGTAAGCTTTTGGAAGTAACCCCTTCTTGGAAAGCAACTTTACGTTAAAAGAAGTGAGCACCCATAACCTTTAAATCCTGAATCCGCCACTGACGATACAATACGTTGTAAAACAATAGGTAAAAACCATCCAAACAAAGTGTTATTCATCAAAGCTTATCCTAATCTCTGTCAGGAACAAATTATTAATTTAAAACGCAGTAACTCAAAATGACTAAAAATTCCAAACTCATAACCATCAAATCCCGACTCCAACTCCACTCTATGGTACTTGAATAAACAATAATGCCTCAAGTTCAAATCCCAAAAACATGTTATTGGTGGGAGGTTGTAGGTATCCCATGGAATTAGTCATAACAACAGAGGTGCGCAAAAGTTGACCACGACATCAAAGCTAATTTTTTTAAAAAAAGTAAACCGCCCGCAACTCAAACCCTAGATACCTAACATCTAATTTTGCAATCTAATCAAAAGAGCATCTAATTTTGCAATCTAATCAACAGGAAAAACAAAACAATTGTTAAAAAGGAAGAGAAAAAAAAAACTCACTTTTTGTGTTTAGTAACAATAGGGCTAACGATGCAGGGTTCTTCAAATTCAAAATCCAAAGGTTTATCCATCTCCGTCATCAACTGAATTGCTTCAACAACAACAAAATTAAACACAAATCTAACAAACAAAAATCTAATTATCGCTTAAAAACACAGCAATTCTTCTATAATTATAGAGAATATGAACAGAAAAAAAAAAGGAGAAAAAATTGACTCTTCGGCTTGTTTTATAGCCTCGGGTTTGCCCGGGAAAACGAAAAAAAGTGGTTTCTTTTTCATTTTCATCCTTTCTTTGTTGGATGAATTGCACTTTTGGCTTGCTAATTTTCCATTGTTTGCATTTTTATTTTTTCCTCCTATTTTTGGTAGTACTAATTGAGATTAGTTGGAGTTGAGGATTTTGCTATTTTGGGTAAATAGTAAAATAAGACATTTGTAGTTGCATCGTTTTAATTCAACTATTTCAGCGTTATGAGAATAATTACTTTAAATGTTTTTGATCGTGCATGAACCTCAAATGTATTAGTAGGATGAGAGATTTTAAACGGTCTGTTTATACAAAGTTTAAAATGTTGGGTCGGAATGAATCATTAATAATCTATTTGGCGGGAGTTTGAAATATTTTTTTTAAAAAACTAAAATACGAATTTTCTAGCCAATTTTCATCGAGAAATTTACCAAAATGACGTTTTTGAAAATTAGAGAAAGTTGAATGATTTATAATTAGAAAAATTAATTTAATGACTTTTCTGCGATAATGCTATAATTCAATGACTTTCTGTGATATCAACTCGATATTTATTCATTGGAAAAAGATCCAAATCGATTGGGTTAATATGTTCATCAAATTAGTGTTCGATTGTGTCTAAAACCCTAGATCAAAACTTCGTTCATTGGAAGTGAATATTTATTTTAGAGTAAATTTTAGGAATAGCTAACATAAAAATCATATTAGCGCTCTATAACTAAAGTTTTGCTATGGAGCATCTGATTTGTATAAATTGCGGTGACTTGTATAAATTGGGGGTGTCTGTCTATGAAGATTGTATTTATATAGGTATATGTTATTTGTGTTAGGCTAGAGTAACGAGCGAGATTAGGAGAGAGAGGCAGAGAGTGGAGAGAGGTAATTGTATATGTATATCAGTTAGATAATTGTATATATGTAAGTACTATGTATATGTATCAATGATTGTGTTTGTATATTTGCATAAAATTTGAATTTGAATACAGTTGAATCGAGTTAAAATATTTGTATTTGTATATCAAATCTCTCTCGCTTTATATAAACACAAACTATACATTGTATTTATATTATTTGTGTTTGTATAAAGCGAGAGAAAGAGAAAAAGGCAAAAGAGAACTGGCAGGGGAAGATTTATATTAGTATAATTATAAGTGTACAGGACGGAGAGATATGTATTTGTATTTGTATGTACAGTATCTCTCGCTTTATACAAACACAAACACAATTTATACATTTGTGTTTGTATAAAAGGGAGAGAGGCGAGGGAGAGAATGAAGAATGGCAAGCGAGACTCAAGGGAGAGGGGCGAGAATGGCAATGTGTTTGCTACAAATTAAAATTGTATAACTTACATAAATATCATAGTGTAAAGAGTAAATTACATCATATCCCTACTATTTTTCTAATTACAATAATCCCTTAAAATTTGTACCTTTCGGATACATAAGTCACCATCCGGATAAATTAATTCACTATCCGGATACATTAATTCTAATAGAAGAAGAATCCTTCTGTTGCGCTAAAAGGGGAATAAAATCTGAAAATCTAATTAAATCCCATAAATTACGCTTACGTTTCTTCTTACTCTCAATCATACAGAGGCAAATCCAGAACGAAGAAATTCAAAATTTCAAATCGCTCCCCACTGTTCAGTGGAGAAACCTTTCAGATTTGATTTAAAAACTTTTGTAGAATTTTTGGGTTAGTGAGGTGAGTTATGAAGGATACGAAAGTGATGGGAATTGTTGTTGGACAAACGATTTCCTTTTGAATCTTTAAGTTCATCGAAGATCCTTTCAATTTTGATTCAAGTTGTTTGGATTTGCTATGTATACCCTCTATTTTTTAATTTTTTAATTTGTATTGATATATAAATCGGGATACATTACTGATTACAAATTGATACATTAGTAGTTTGATGTATATGTAATGTGTTTTTAGATCCCAAAACTCTTCTTTCCATTCTTCCAAAAAAAATTCAATTTTTGACTCAAACTTGTCAACAAATTGTTCTGATACAACATGAACATGTCGATCTTGTTGAGACATTCCAGAATCTGAGAAAGTGAGGTGAGGTATGAACGATACAAAAGTTATAGAATTGTTGTTGGTCAAAATATTGGTTTGTGAATCTCAAATCAGTCATTGCAACTGAATTAGAGATCGATGAGTTGAGGAAAAAGTAGGAGATCTGATACATCGTTGAGGTGAAAAAATAAGAGTTTGTGCCATTAATTCATTGGCTTCTTATCCGACGAAGGAATTATCTTTTGTATTATCTCCTTATCCATCTCCGGCCGTTCAACCACCTCCTCCACCATTCCATCTGCCCCCTCCACCTTTGGTATATAGTTTTTTAATGTATCATGGTTATAATTTTGTTTTGTCGTTTTGATGTGAATATGTAAGTCATGATACATTAGTGGTAAACGACGCGCGTGCAGTATAATTTTGTATCTATGAATTATGATGTGATCATTATTTTGTATCTGGATGTGATTTGTATAAAAATGTATCATCATAATATATTGTATATGATACATGTAATAAATGGATTAACAGTTGAGATGTATCATATATGTTTTGAATATTGAGCGTGTGTATCACAGATTTGTATAAATATATCAGGCTATTATTATGTATATTGTACATATAAATAGTGTAACAATTGAGATATGTAAATTACTTGGTTTGATCAAGAAAAAATGTGAATGATACATTATTATATATTATGGCACCTAAATATAATTGAATAAAGAGGCCGAAATGGAAATCTTCCAATTCTAGGCACCTTTACATCCACATACAGAAACAGACATATAACCTCAAAAAAAGGATGAGAAAAAGAATAGAAAAGAAAATAATATTTTATTTTTGAACTTGTTGAAGGTATTGATAGATAGGAGAAAAAGAGGAAATTTTTGTTGGTGTGACTAAAAATAGGAAGAGATTTGTGGAGTGAAATAAGGAAGGGATAAATGTTGGTTTTGGAAGTTAGGATTTATGTATCTAGCGTTTGGGGGTTTGGGAGTAAAATAAGGAATTTTGAAAAAATTTAGAACTGATAGGGAATAATGGAAATTATGGAGAAAAAAAAATGTATGTATATAAGTAATTTATCCATTAGAATTAAATGAAACTGTAGCTATAATATTTATTTTGAATTAATAGCTTGCTATAATGCACCATTTTCTTTTATTTTACCTACCACTAAGTCATATTAAAATACATGTCATGTCAGGGACCATCAAAGCTTGCGCTAGGATAGATAAGATCTCTTCACCCTTACTTAAAAACTTCGACTTTGAGCACTGAAATGAAAAGATTTTTTTTGATAGGATTCTAAAAAACACTTTCCTGCCTTTGATGAACCTTACGTGACACATATTCGAATTAGTCCATCCTACCAAACATTGAATGGAAAAAGAAAAGGGGAGACATGCCAAGAATATGATCTACTACTAGTCCAAAATACTCTCTTTTAGCCTGATTATTTTAACTTGTGTGCCACCAGAAAAACAGACAAAACTAGCCTGTCTTTCAATTTCTAGCCAACTCTCTAATTCTTAATTCCAAGTTGCACAAAATCTCACAATTTTTAGTGTTTTTTTTTTAATTTTCATTTTTCTGCTTAACTAAAACAACAATATACTCAATGTAATCTCACAAATGAAGTCTTGAGAGGATAAGATGTACGCAGACCTCAGTGAGGTCACCTCACCTCTATCTTTGTTAGGGATGGCAATGGGGCAAGCGGGTTGAAGTGGGTTTTTTGAAAACTAACGTGGGGCGGGGGCGGGTTGCGGGGTATATGTAATTTTATTTGGGTTCAAACTTAATTTTAACTTTTTACATATTATAAGAGTCATAGAGCATTATTTATTAAGATAATTTCTTTAAACTACTAAAATATTCAAGATAGTAAATGAAAATGGTTCAATAAAAAATAATACAATTTTTTTACATGTTTCCCAATTGACCTCTAAAAAATAATTTTTCAAGTCACTATCCTATTAAAATTAATACAACTTAATGAAAGATGAATTTATTTTTATGAATTATATTTTTAGTATCAAACTTAACTAGAAAAAGAATATATTAAAAATATTATGCAGTGCGGGTTCATGCGGGGCGGGTTGAAAATGAAATAAATTGTTATGCGGGTGGGGCAGGTGGAAAATGAAATAAATTGTTATGCGGGGAGGATTAAAATTTTTGCAGGTTAAGCTCAACCCGCACCACTCCATTCATGCCATCCCTAATCTTTGTGGAGTAGAAATGTTGTTTCTGATAGACCCTCAACACAACGACATATAACCAGAACAGGCAGTAGTTTTCTAGTTCAACAATTTACTATGTTGCTATGAATGCATACACAAACAAATATGAAATGACAATTTTCTTTTCATAGGATTAATACATGATTAATGGATACATAAATGATCAAGAAAGAAAAAAACTACTTAAATAGGCCAAAATTTGGCCTTAAATTGTGTAATGTTCTTAGTGTGTATATCTGCCTATTTATTGTTTGTTGAAGCCATTTCTGCCTCAGTTGCCTCAGCTTGCTCTCTGAACTTCTTGTATATATCACCTTTATAAAATTTTCTAGTTCTTGCAACCAAAATCAACGAGGCTAGCGCCCCAAAAAACGCGACACTAGCCAAGATAACAAAAGCCTGTCGATAACATTGGTTCCCAATACATGTCAATTCTTTGACAGATGATCTAGTTAAGCCTTTTTTCGCGAGATCCTTCAATGCCTCTCTATCGTAGAGCGGTCCAGTTACCTTCACATTCAATATGTATGAACCAAGAGGGCTAGCCAATTGACCACAATTGAACAATGTGGAATAGTACTTCAATCCGAAAAGTTCAGAAATGATTGAGAAGAGTAAAGGCAATTGTGCACCAAATGAGAACCCGATGATCACTGATGCAACGTACACTGATCCGTTGAATGGAAACGCGATGAGAAGCAGTCCAATGCAGGATAACAACAGGACTAATGTCATCATAAGTGTCCTTGGGAATTTGTACTTAACGAGCAACGCCTCAGATACAAATCCTGAGAAAATTCTCCCAAAAAAGTTCCATATACTAAGAAGTGACACAAAGGACTTGATTGTTGTTGTTGGATATCCTAAAGACTCTCCGATCTGTCCTAAGTTATCGACAGCAGTCAAGCTCGTCCCAAGTCCACAGAACGTAGCAACGAATAAAATCAACATATCAGTACTCAAAAGTGCTTGCAATATACTATAATCTTCCCCTCTTTCTGGTTTATTCAAGAAAATGTCATTGAATGACAAACACTTCAAATTGTTAGTATCTTTATTCTCCACTACTACTACTACTGGTACTGGAGGATGCTCGGTGGTACTTACTCGTGGAGGATCGATAACATTCTTTCTACGAAAAACACCTAACTCTTCTCTAAGGAAAACCAAAAGAGGTAAAAACAACAAAGCACAAGCTATAGTAGCAGTACCAACATAAGCCCCATGAGTAAATCTAACTGTCCTCTCAACCAATGTCACAACCATAAGAAACAATGCCAACACAATTGCTATAGCCAAACAATAGTAGAAAACTCTCAACTGATTCGGCTGCTTAACGACTCTCATCTCACGAATGGTATACACAAAAATGAGAGATATTGCAGCTGGTAACCAAGCTATAAGCAAAATAAGTGATGTAGCATCATTTCCATATACAGCTAAGTATAATTGTGTCATTATAGCACCACTTAATCCAGTAAAACCCTTTAACAAACCAATCAGATTTCCTCTGCTCTCTGGGAAGTTTTTAACAGATGTAACAAGAGCACCAGTATTTGCGAAATTCTGTGAATTAGCACCAAGACATATGTACATACACATAAGCCAAACATTTGGTTTTTGAATTTTGCCAACAACAGAGAACCATATCATGAAATAGCCAGTGAAATTCATGGATGCACCAACTAGTAAAACAAACCATGTTGGAGTAACTTCAGCAAGTAAACCAGAGAAAACACCAACATTAGCACCAAGATCTTTAAAGAAACCCAAGAGATTAAGTGTTGTTTGGTCATATCCAAGTGAAGATTTTATTTCTTTAGAGTAAGTACCAAATAGATAAGTAGCACCAGCTCCAGCCATGATTAGAAATGAAGCAAAAAGAGAGAACCACCTACCTTGTATAACATGATTGGTGAATTGCAAAATTTCATGGCTTTTGCCCATTGGCATCTCTCCCATATCTCTCTTCCTCTATGTGAAGTAAACAACAAAATTAAGAGAAAGGTAATCTCTATTCTCTAAGTACTATACACTTATCTTGTTTTTTTGTGATGTTTTTGTAAATAAGGTTAGTTATGTCGAATTCAGTAGCTTTGATATGGACTCTGTATTTGTGTTAAGAAACTAAGTGTCTTTGGAATTAACTCGAATTTGTAAACTTAAAATCTTGGATTTGACTATAGTTTTGTTGGACTCAGTAGCTTTGATACAAACTCTGTATTTGTGTTAAGAAACTAAGTGTCCTTGGAATTAACTCGAATTTGTAAACTTAAAATCTTGGATCTGACTATGTATATTAGCTCATGTTGGTTTGGTTAGTGAGTTGGGTGGATCTACGATATAGATTTGTTGGACTCAGTAGCTTGGATACAGACTCTGTATTTGTGTTAAGAAATTAATTATCCTGAAAATCAGAACCTAAAACTTAAAATCTTGGATCCGACTCTGCGTATAAAATGTGTGCTAGCTCGTGTTGGTTAGTGAATAGAGACAGATCTATAATATAGTTCTGTCAAACTCAGTAGCTTTAATATAGATAATGTATTCGTGATTAAAAAAAAACCCAACTATTTCGAAAATAGAAATTTATAAACATAAAATCTTGAATCCGACTTTGTGTATAACGAACTAGCCGCTTTGACACAAACTCTGTATTTATCCTGATTCTATGTAATTCAGAACTTAAAAACTCGAAATTTTGGATCAAGACTAGGTGGATAAAATACAATTAGCTCATGTGGGTAAGTGAGTGGGGCAGATAGTTGATGGAAAAAATCAAACTAATCAATGACAACTTGAGAGGTCAAAGAAAGATGATTGCTAAATGTGAAAATATATTATTATAAACAAAGACTTAAGACAAAACAATGACTTAAATACTCAATGAGCCAAAAATCTAGGAGACTTTTTTGGCTAGATTGGAGAAATGAGTATTAAAAAAATTTGAACTTATCCTTTAGAGGAAAAAAGAAAATGATTTCTACTTTATTACTAGTTAGTAGATGGTGAAAATGACATGATATAACTTTTTTTTTTTGGTTGTTTCCTATAAATCAGATTAAATCAAGCTCATACAAAATGTAAGGACACAAGTAACTAACTAAATTGGAGATTTAAATGTTACTTCGGCTGATAATATTGATCAAGACTCTTAAAAAATGTCATTATGTGAGTGTTGCGTCTTTCAAAATAGTACATTTTTTAAAGATTCGACACATTGTTCAGACTCTTTAAAAATGTTATAGTGTGTGTTTCGCATCCTCCAGAAGTAGTGCATTTTTGAAAAATTTGACACACACATATATATATATAACTGCATTTTTGAAGAGTCTGAATAACATAGGCTTTGACATGAACTTCTTGGGTTATTGATTGTGTTTTCCTTTTCTTTTTTTTAAAGCGGAATAATAGGAAAAGAAGTTAATTTTTTGTTCTTTAAATTCTGTTTATTTGTGGTAAAACATTAAAGTTCCATAACTAATATTGGATTTGCTAATACAAGTAATTTTTTCCTAGTTCAAATCCATTAATATATGAATAAAAAAATTGTCACTGTTGATTGACTAATGACATACTAAGCAATTTCCTAATTATTATATACTCAAGTAACAACAATTATCTACACATCCAAAATATGTTTTTTTTTTGCTATATATAAAAAGAGGATATGATTGTATGATTTGTTAATGCACTTTGGACTAAAATGAAAGGTAAAGGTCGGATGCCACTTCATAAAAGGAATTTGATACAACAATAACAAATTGTGACGGAGATAGAAGTCTTACTAAAAAAATATAATTAAAATATTAGGAAAAAAAATTATATTTACTCTTTTATGATGGAAAAAAGAATTAATTTTATCCTCTGTTACATTTTTCATTTAAAAATATCTCATTATACTATATTGATTCAAATACATCACACTTTTATTATGACGATCAAAAGTGGATACTCTATCTCATGTGATGCTGATATTTTAATAAGATGATCAGATAAACACCGTGTGATATGTAACGTCACCTGTCCAAATCTATTTTATCTTTTTCTCTTTCATTTTTTCTTCCATCAACTCTAATGGAAGAAAGGTATATTCGAGCCACTTTTAGTAATATTGAGTATTTTTTGCTTTTAACAAAAAGTACAATATAGAATAGAAGTGATTTTTTTATACCGTAGAGAAACAAATAAAACCTTTTTCCAAAACACCATTAAGTATGTAGTTTTTGAAAATTTAATATTGATAAATATCATTTTTAAAGGTCAACGAAATGATGGTATAAATCCTATCATCTTTATATATCACTGTATATCTTGCTTCTAGGAGCAGATCTAAGAGTAAAGAGATCGTCAGGATATTCATTTGAATTAAATTAACAAAATATTATATTTGTTATATAAGATGATTTATATATAGAGAGCTAGAGTTTGAATCTCTAAACATAAAATTAAAAATTAACTCACTTATTTATCATATTTTTTTAAAAAAATTAATAAAAATTCTGATTCTGTCACTCGAATATAATTAGCATTTAGAAATAGTCAAAAGTTGCATGTGAAAGAGGTCACATGATACATAAAAATCTCAAATGTGAATTGGAAAGACAATAATGACTAAGGAGACTTGTTGACAAAATATCAAAAGAGTAAATGACATATATATACAATTATTATGGAAAATTAGCAACAAATAGCTCATAATTAAATAACATTTAATAGACCAAAACAAAGAGAGCACAAAGTAGCCCATATTAACCGACGGCATACTAATAGGTTTTGTTTTTTTTTTCTTGTGAAACTAATTAACCGCCACACAAAACATTAAAAAGGGAACGTGGAAGCTTCTTTAAACAATTAAACTCCCCATAGATAATTAGCGATTCAATATTCCATAAACTCCATCAATTCAAAAAAATTCATGTATCCAATATAAAAAAAATCAACGAGGTTCTACTATAAACATCAACAAATAGATGACATCTTTGAAAGTGTTGATTCATCATAGCGGAGAATGGGATAGTGCAAATAATTTTGTACATTATTTCATGGAGGGGGTGGCTATTATAACAGACATTGATTTCAACGGATTCACTCGCTTGATTTCAAGCCATCTAAATGTCAATACTTCCTTGAATTCGTTTGATTTTCATTATAAAATTGATGATAATTCTATGCTGATGTTGATACGAAACACTATGGGATTACGAGTATACATCAAATTGAAGAAAGGGTCAGAAATTTCAAAGACTATCCATTGTGCATAACTTGGAAAGCTATAGATATTCATCATACACTTTGAATTAATGGAGAAGAATATGGGGAGGTCAATACCCAAATAATAGCCCATGGTAACACCAGCATAGACAATTTGAATGTAATTGAATATAACGACATGGCTTCTCGGGAGATTGCATATTTTCAACAATGCAATATTATTGAAAGTGATGCTGCTAACGGACCATCAGAAGGTCAACTATACAAGGATAAGAAGATTTTGAAATCTGTTATTGAAAATTATGCAATTCAAAAGAAGCTCCAGTTTAAAGTGAACAGATCAAGTGTATCAAGTTATTATTCAATTAGTATAAGTAGACCTATCAATCTATGTTATTCACTACAATGTATACCTTTTCAAAAATGGTATGCTTTATGTATCCAATCACTTATAAATTTAAAGAGTTAATTAAACTATCTTTTATCACATGATTTGTTTTTTATCCAAGAATGAACAGTTATGTATACGATGCATTAATGTATACATATCCGTGTATTCATTCGCTAAAAATTTAAACACTGAATCGAATAATCTTTTATCACATGAATGAGTTTTTATCACGTGAATGAACAATCATGTATACAATGCATCCATGTATACATATCCGTGTATTCATTCACTAAAAAATTGTATACATTCCAGATTCTTCCTTCAGTGTATAAATCAGGATTGCACTTGGAAATTAAAATGCTCAACATTACACAAGTCAAAAATATTCAAAGTTAGACGATTCATTACTGAACACACTTGTCTTGCAAAGGATAGACTAATGTCGCAACGAGTTGCTACCTCAACTATATTTGAAAGAGAATTACAGTACAAATATCATGATCCAAAAGTTGTATACAATGCGAGAGACATAATTACTGATATGCATAGAATGCATGTAAAGCTGCTAGAGAAGATATAACATCAACTTTTGTTTAAAAGAATTGTAGAAGAATGATATAATGTTTACATTATCAATAAATATTCACCAGTCAAATTAAACATGCATATGGGAAGAGAGGAGAAAAAAAGGGAGCAAAGACCCACTTCCCAATAAAACTGCAACATGCTGTCACCAACTTAAAAATAATTAATTTAAATATAAATAACTTTCCATAGAATAATGTGGGCTAAAATATGCCAATTTTAATTTTAAAAAACCTTTTATTGTTATAAAAATAAAAAGGGTCTAAATGTTGCCAATTAATAAAAAGAGATTACATGTTGTGCCATTTTTTCATATCAAAAACCCACTTACCAAAAACATTCATGTGATATACAACAATGCAAGGACAAAGACAGAAAAAAGTAAAATCCACTAGAGAATATTTAATCCCTTTTCTCATGACTATTTATTTGCACTAAATAAATAGCAGGTATATCTCGTGAACATCTCATGCTCTTCACATGTGAGGCTTAGTAGACTTGTATACTTATGATATACAATTATGTTAACTAGAGATGATTATTTGGTCATTGATAAAATTAAGATATTTATATAATCGTTATGAACAATTTATTATTTATACACCTTTTAGTTTAAAAGTCCCTTTTTAGCAAAATTGATGTGAAAAATATTATATAATGCCTTTTCTGGATCTATCCCCATTTGATATGTCCATCATTTTATAGTAAAAAAATCTAAGAAGGAAAAAGTGATGCACGGTCTAAAAGTTTATAATCCTCTATTGTTTTATCGTAATTTTGAGCAATATATGAGCAAAAACTACATTGCAAGGAGATGTAAGAGTAGTAAAATCCAGAAATATTCACTTAAAAATGGTAATATTTGTCATCTTTTTTTTTATATAT